ATTTAATTTTATTTATTATTGCCTTTTAATTTGACCAGAGAGAGAGAAAGTGAAAGTGAGAAAGTAAGCCACCAGGTCCAGGACTCAAACGGCGGCGGTCACACATGAGGGAGACTACCTTAACCACCATGCCACTCACTGGTGGGAATGGGAGGGGTTGAAGGGGTGGTGGGAGATGGTGGGGAAAGGGTGGGTGTGGGGGTATGAGGGGTGGAGAGCAGGGGTGCGCGGAGAGGGGGATGAGGGTGGAGTGTGAGTATATTGGGGGGAACCGAAGATGAAGTAAGTGACTGAAAATGTGCTGAACTGACAGGTTCACTTTAGAAATGCAAGGGGGAGGGACCAGCAGATGGCATAATGGTTACATTGTTGGACTCCCACTAGTTGACTACTGTACAAGTCCCAGACCTGGTGGTTTAAACTCACGCCAGGCTTGTGTGCATGCATGCCCAAAATCCTGAGAAGAGAATGGAGGAGAAGGGATTGGGGAGTAGCCATCAGCCCAGCACCACCCTCCTTCCTCTCTGCCCTCCCCCCTCCCATTTCTCCCTTTCTGTCTCTCTGGCCAGCCCACTGCACCCAAGAGTAAAAATCTCTCTCTCTAAAAAAGAAAGAAGTGGAAGTAGAGCAGTGAGGGTTGAAAAAATCTCTCTCTAAAAAAAGAAAGAACTAGAAGTAGAGCAGTGAGGGTTGATCTTCAAGATAGAGAGGGGGAGTAAGGAGGACAGACCCTTCACAAGGAGGTGGGGGCAGGGCAAGAGAGTTCACCATAGAGATGAGAGTGGGATAGCAACTTAGAGAGGGGCAGAAACAATGTAGCAAGTGTTCCACAGGAGAGTGGTGCAGTAGTAATGCTATACTCTGCAAGGCTGACTCACAGGAGAATGTTCTAGATACCTCCCTGAACATTCTGAGCATGTGTGTACCCATGAACTGGGATTGGCTGAAGCTGGAGGTGGATCATAGTAGGAAGAATCTTTCATATGCTCACCTCTTTGTTTCTCTTTGTCTCTTTCTTTCGTCTCTCTCACTCACGGAAGAAATAAATTACCTTTTTTTAAAAGAATTATTTAATTTTATTCATTGTCATTATTTTATTCTTTATTTATTCTTTATTTTTTGAAGTTGACCATAGAGAGATGGAAAGTGAGAAAGCAAGCTGCCAGAACTGGGGCTCGAACCACAGTCAGCCATGTGGGAATCCAGCTGCCTTAAGCACCATGCCACCTGCTGGTCCCAAGAAGAAATAAATGAGTTTTCAAAATAATAATAAGGGGCCAGCAGGTGGCATGGTGGTTAAGGTGCTGGATTCCCACATTTCCCACATGGCCAATTGTGGTTCAAGTCCCAGACCTGGTGGCTTTAAAATCACAACAAATAAATAAATAAATGTTAAAAAATAATATTTGGCCACTAGCAAGGGCTGAGACCAGTGTTAGTTAAGTGAAACACTCCCTTTGGGAATAATTTAAGGAAGCACTGAAAAATTTGGTAATTGGGATAATTAATTTTTTTTAAGTCTGTTTACTCGTTTAGTTCATGAAAGACAGAAAAACAGGTATCTTTGACAGAGTCTTACCAATCCTCAATCCTCCTATTGTAGCCTTCCAGCCAACCAGGATTTCAGGTTTGCTCCGACATACCCAGCATATTCAGATTGGCCCAGAATTTTAACCTAGGGCTTCCATGCAGCTCCAGCATCACACAGAGATGCCCTACCACTTGCACCACTGCTTCTGGGCCATAATATATTTTTTCTTTTTGGACAGATTTTTGCTATAGGGCACGTGCGCTCGCCAGACAGACAGAGAGAGACATAGAGACAGAAAGCGAGAAA